AGGTCCAAATAGCCTGTTGCAAACCGAAATCCACCCAACCCACCCACTTCAGCTACATTTCTGTTTACAGCATCACGAGTTCTATCCTAGCTCTGTACTTGCCCATCTTGGCTCCAGTCATTCACTGTGGTTGCAGTGTCAGCCATGTTTTTTTTTTCACTGGGTGCTTTAGGCCCTGATCTGAAGCAGTTCAGTCACCTGGGGCGACTGCAGCCAACCTCTGACGTCAGGTTGTCATATACTTAGACCCATGGAGACACTAAGCCCCTGGGCACAGATAAAAAAGCCCCCTGCTTAGTTTTTTTTCTGCAATGTTAACATTTTTAATTTTGCTATTTACTTTCATCCAGTGTTGTTCTGTTCTATGCCTCTGGGCCTCTGTATTTTGAAGCTCTGACACAGACTGAATAGCTTTCCTCCCTCAGGTGGAGACAGGTTTAAAAACAGACTGCTACTGTATTAGAGACAGATCATGTGCACATACACACACGTCCATCCTGAAAATATATCTTTAGATCAACTGACTTGGGGGGGTTGGTGCAGTCTTTGACAAGAAGCCACTGGTGAGCTGTAATGTGTGACCAGTTGAGCTGGGTGGAGATTAGCGCCTGAGTCAGCTACAGGCAAAAACAGCCACTGTTGTTCCTGAGAAAAACAGAAAACACTTTCTTTTCCTCAAATTGACTTCACTATCACTGCAGTGCTCCAACATTATGGTGTTCTACTTGCATAATACCAAAGCCTGTTTCTTAGATTTTTAACCTTTGTTTGCTTCCTGGCTTGTTCCCTCTGCAGGTTTTAACCATAGTCCAGCACCTCTTGCTATTTCTGTCATAACAAATATCAAAGCCTGCTGTTCAACTACAGCAAGCCCCAGGTCAGGTAAACATGTGCCTAAAGCATAATCATTAACCTTTCAAAACAAAAACAAAACGCCTCTTTAGGTAACTTTTTATTTTCCCCTTCCCAGACAAAAATTTCCAGAGTATACAAGTGTGGATTGTCATTGAACAGCTGCTAATCACTGAGAACAAAAATAGATCCCTAAACTAGCGCAATAAACATCTGCGAAATATACATGCATAAAAATATACCTCTGAGAAAATTCAATCAGTAGTAATGAAGACCTGTATGATCTGAACACATGGAGAAGGTGCAGATTACTGCTGGCATGGGAAATGTAGGTAAATATTGCTTTACATACTAAGGTTTGATTAATTTTAAAAGCAAGATGAGATTAATTGACAACAGACAGATTCTTTGGTTTTTTTTTGTTCAGAGTACTTAAAAAAAACTCTTTATTCTAATTGCATATATGTTAATCACCTGAAGTGCTCTGCCCTATGATGAGCTCATTCATCACACAACATGGGTCTGAAAGTAATGCATGAGTGGGATTAAAGACATATCTCTCAGTAAGACTCGAGTAAAAAAAAAAATACTAACAGTGCACTGTCCTATTTTAGGCACAAAAAGCCTAGCTTCAGCTGAGCTTTCACCAGGAAGGATGCAGGATAGTAGAACTGACTGACTCTACAGGACTGAATGAAGCTTAAATAACCTCCCCTTCAGACTGAGGGTTTCGGAAATACATTAACAGTGTTGTGTTGTTCAGTAACCTTCTGGAGTCGTTTCAGAAAATCAGATGATTAGCTCTTAATGTAAAAGCAATGCATGAGAATCACAACCTGGGCCACAGCTTAATTAGACTCAGACTCAAACATCCTGTGTATATTTTGATGCAATGCAACAGTAAATGGAGCGTTGACCTGATCATCAATTCAACAATTAGTCACCTTATGATCTCTGAAAAACTAAACTAAGTTCTTGTCTCTGTGTGCCAGTGAGTCAACAGCAAGGCTGTACTCTTCATCTTATAAATGACAGGCTGATTATTGTACAGAGAAGAAGAGAGAAGGCATTAACCCTGTTGCAACATTCAACAATTTCTTAGTGCCAACACTTCTAACAGGGTATTTCAACATTTGTGGTGACTCGAGTCAGACAGACTTAAAAAAAACAAAAAAAAAAACAAAGAAAAACAAGAGTGAGGTGCTGGAATGATTCCTTGACATATTTCAGGAAGAAAAATATGCAGACCAGGCTTTCCATCCATCTATTTTACAAAGCAAAACATTTTGACCATACCCAAAATCCCCTCCTTATCCTTTCCAGCACAACTTGCATGGTATAAAGCACAGTCTTTTCCTCATGAAAGGTAGAAGCTGTCAGAGGAGTGATGTGCTGAATTTTAATGTAAAAACACCAACCTCTCCTGAATGTGAATAGTCTGTCTTGTTGATGGCAGCACAAACTATGTGGCCAAGATAGGAACCACCATACAGGAAAAAAAAGGAAGCCAAGAGCCACAATGCATGTGATGATTTAGTTCAAGCTACACTACTCCCTGTTTCTCCAATCTGTAGTCATCTTTGGGGAGGAGGAGCATCTGTCATGGAAATCCTATCTCTCTCTCTCAACAACACCCTTCTATCACAAGTCTATTTAACAAAAAAAAAAAAAAAGTGATGAAGGGTTTCTGAGGGGGAGGAGGGATTAGAGTGAGTCAAGGTGGATAGAAGGCATGTTTCTACAGGGGAGACAGGTACGGTGGATAGTGCAGAGGTGAGGGTGGCGTCCGAGACTGTGGCAGTCACTCCTCCTCTGAGCTGCTGTTGTCCAAAGAGTAAGCCATGAAAGCCAGATCAGGCCGGGCTGGTACCAAGGGGTTTCCCGGCTTCACCATCTCAAAGCCCATGTAGTGAAACGTCTTGATGATGGGCACTGGTGGGGAAATGAGAGTGTTCAATGGTTCTACTGGAATAATATGAACAGTAAAACCAGTCTGAATCATGGCAGCCATAATTTTCCATTTGCTACATACTCAAGGGTGGATTACCAACAGGGCAATGAGGGAAAATTCCCTGAGGGCCTAAAAGTCCCATATTGACAGCATGTCAGTTTCATGTTTTTAAACTGTTCACCACTGCGTCCAGTCTTTTTACACTAACATGTCTCAAGTGTATCAACACACACAAGCTACAGTAAGTTTTCTCCTGGGGCTGGGTAAACTGGGCATATAAACTCTATGTTGTGTAGATAATCCTTACTGTTGACTATGTACTTGTTTATAATGTAGGTCTTCGCATTTTAAAATGAATATGAAGGGGGCGATTTGTCGACGGAGTCGATGTAAATGCTGAAAATGAGTCAGCGTCATTTTTAAAATAGGCTAAGGCAGCTTTTTATTTTTATGATTTGTCAAGTGAAAGCTGAACAAGCCCAGCTGTTTAGAAGCCCATCACCGTGCAAAGTTTTTGTTAGCATACCACAGTAGAACTAGCGCTATGCACAAGCAACCGCTAGAAAAGTTAAACCACCTTAAATGTGGTCTACTCTCATTTATTATATTACAAATAGTAGGAAGAGCTCTATAAAGATCTTTTGTCCTTTAGCTGCCAAACTCATTATAGGAACCAATCATCTGCCTGCTACTTTAAAGTCCACTGAACAAGTGTTTGAGAAAAGTTTAGGTTTATTCTGCATTGGCTGACGGTGCCAGTGTGTGTACCGTGTTTGTGCCTTACTTCGATCCTCTCTGCCTTTATGGAACCAC